TTGAGCATGGTCAGTAGATATCAAGGGAACCCGGGCAGAGCTCATTGGATTGCGGTCAAGAATATACTTAAGTACCTTCGGAGGACCAAGGAATGGTTTTTAGTCCTTGGAGCGAGTGATGACTTAAAGGTGTGAGGGTATAGTGATGCCAGTTTTCAGACCGACAGGGACAACTACCGTTCGCAGTCGGGGCTGGGTCTTTACCCTTAATGGGGGAGCGGTGACTTGGAAAATTTCCAAGCAAGAAACAGTAGCTGATTCAACGTGCGAATCAGAGTACATTGCAGCGAGCGAAGCGTCAAAGGAGGCTATGTGGTTGAAGAACTTCATTGGTGATCTTGGAGTTGTGCCTACCATAAAGGAGCCTATGGAAATTTTCTGTGATAATGAAGGAGCGGTTGCCTTGACCAAGGAACCGAGGGATCATGGTAGATCTCGACATATCGACAGAAAATATCATTTTATTAGACATCAAGTAGAAGAAGGACACCTCGTGGTAAAGAGGGTATCGTCAGAGGATAACCCAGCAGATCCGCTTACGAAGGGACTTAGCAGGGTTAAGCATTTGCAGCACGCTAGGAGCATTGGGCTAAAGAACGATATTAGTTTAGATTAGATAGTTTGGAAACGTGTAATAGATAAATGTAATTGACATTTGATGATTAAATAAAGGAGTATTATTTATAAGTAAAGCTACTGTCTTATGTTAATTGTTTAACTATTGTTTCATTTTGCATGTTTTGACTTCCTGAGTAATTAATTATTTGATAATAATCGAATTATTCGAATAGTCCACAGTCGTTCATATGTTGGAAGTAGATATGAATGAAGACTGTCATGAATTGGTGTGTAGATTGTCTAAAGTGTATTAGACATAGCAAAGGTTTGCTACAACGTTCATGAGTGCTTATGAACTTGATTTGAGCATTGGAATAAACCCACACTTGTTGGAATCACTTCATGGAATTTATCACGAGTGATCACAAGATGGTAATATCATATAGTCTTAAAACCTAGATATATGGTTTATTGTTTGTTAATTGGTTATGCATTGATAATACGCAAACGCATCAGTAACTTGATGTTATAAAACGTATTGTTGTGTGTAAATTCATTAGTGGATAATAAATGCATATAAGTCGAAGTTTATCTGTTCCTTTTATCCTAAGAGGGTAAAAGCGATATCAGGGCCCCTCGATGATTTGATTTGACTTATGTGACGGGCCCGGTCAGGACTGAATTGATGTGTTCAATTAAGTTCTATGTCAAATGAATCTGAGATCGAGAAACAAATTGCAGGACAATAAGTATGACCATGTTCCATGTAATTGTCCGCACGATATCTAGAACAGAGGATTATACGATCCCTTATCTAAAGGACAGGATACTGATAAGATCAGAGTTGACAGCGTCATATTTGTAATTCAATTATGCTTGACTCAAAGTGCAAAAAGTACAATGTCATATTTGTAATATTTAAAATAATGATATTTTCTTACTTTCTCGATTCCTGTGCCCTCGATCCAGATATCAAATAATCTTTATGAAAATGACAAATGATAATCTCGGTTATAAGGTTTCCAAAAAGTGAGAAAGATCTTAAATCTGATAAGTAGAACTCCGGGAAAATCCGTTTAAAGTTTCGCGATTTATAGGATCGGATTCGACAGATTTTACAAATCAGATTTCGGTTGAGTTTAAAAATATTATAAAAATATAATAAAATAATAGACCATGGCCGGAATTAAAAAACTTGCTCAAAAATAGTTTACGAGACTCGTAGCTATTCCAAACGAATCAGTCCATGGTTCGTTTCAAGAAAATCAAATAAATACTGATTTTTATAACTTTAAAGAGTCGTAACTTTCTCATACGACCTCCGCTTTGGTCGTTCTTTATATCCACGAAATCAGGAGAACATAATCTATTAGAATTTATTATTCGCAACTCTCAAATATACTTAATGCAAAAAATTCAATTTTAACGTCACCAATAAATTTAATTTTTGTTGTTTTTTCATTTAATCTTCAATGGTAGATGGTTTAAGCAGTTTGAGATGTTCTAAAAGTAATTATGTATGTAATATTTTTAATATACATTATAATTAAATTTTACACACAATTGGTTCTTAATGCATAACGGTTCGCGGTGGTTTAACCGCCGAACTCTGACCAATTTTTACCGGTTGTTACAAGTGGCAACTCAAAGCTCCTAGAGTGGTGTCAAACCACTAGATCACATTCATGGGGCCAAAAGGGTCCAAAACTCATATATACTAGATCTAAGCCATTAATAAACAAGATAATAGCTTTTTACCTCAAACAAGATGGAAATGGAGTAGAGAATCAGGGTCCACAAGCTTTTCCTTTATCAACAACCTTGCACCAAGCTTCTTCTTCTTGATTATGAACCAAGGCACACCAAAATGAACATAATGAGCTCAAAACTCAACGGAGAGGTCTAGGGTTTCGAATATGAGGCAATGAGGTCAGTGGAGGCTGAGAAATGAGGATTTCAAGAGCCATAAATGTGTTTATATAGTGTCAAACTCTAAAAATTAGGGTTTCACTAACTGGCACATACGTCCCGTGTACACATGAGTATGTTACGTGTACCATGTATTACGCCCCGCGTACTCTCTTCACAACTGGTACGCTAAGCGTACCATGTGGTACACCCCTCGTACTACACAAGGACCAAAATGTAACTTTTAAAATAACAAAGGGCAATAATGAAACATACAAAGATTCAAGTGTTACAAATAATCATGGACTAATTTTTTTTAATTTTTAACAAAAAACAGAAATTTTCCTATTTATAACACCAAAGGACTTTTAAAAGTCGGAAAAATTCTTTAACAACATAAAAATTAAATTTATTAATATATAAACAAATCGTTTATACGGTACATATGAAATAAATAAATAATTATATTATAATATATACGTACATAGAAAACAAATTAATGGTTGGCATAGGCTAGGTTTTCTTTATCTTTTGTCAGCAATCAATTATTTATATTTTTACTTCATCTTTCCCCAAATTTCAACTATTCACGATTACATTTATATAAAAAATCCCTAAGGAAGAAATATGGGTTAAGAAACATACGAATTAGTGAGAAAATAAACATTACTGATTTGCTGTGAGCGAGAGGTAAAGCTGCGACGATGAGCTGCACCACACGACCGACGACCTTCTGTAGCTTGGGTAGTGGCTGATAAGTGGAGACGCTAAGCCTTCGCGATAATTAAAGCAACCAACGAATCAACAGAGGGCTAAGAGCCAAAAGAGAGCGTGAGAGCGGAGACTGGATTCGTGCGAGTAACAATGGAAAGCTCAACAACATACGATGGTAACATTTTGAAAAGGGGTTTAGAATTTTTTGAACGATTTCAAACATTGTTTTTTATTGGGATTTGGCGCTTTCCAAAAGTATTTGAGACTTTTTTTGAAAATTTTAGTTTTCATACTTATCTCTCTAAAAACTGTGAGCAAGTTTTTTCAATTTTTGTAAAAGATATTTAATTATTTTAAATACAAAATAGAGTTACGTGACCTTATATCAACGTATTACCTCATTTTTAATTTGTGAATGCGTTCATCGGTGATAGTATAATGGAGGCATTTTGTAGTTTGTTTACAATTATATGATGGGTTGAATTATATATAGAAATTTATGGACAAGTTAGGGGGGCTAAGAACCTCCCTTCCCTTTACTGTCTCTGCCATTGAATATAATAATTGCATAATATATTAACAAAACATCTCTCTCTCTCTCTCTCTCTCTCTCTCTCTCTCTCTCTCTCCTCCTAATATCATTTCTAGTTATTTCTGGTTATGAGGGTGACCCAAAAGGACTTTGATTTTTAATTCAAGTATATATATACCAATTTAGTTATTGGGTTAGACACCTAATCCGACAATACTAATGTCAGAAAAATAAAAAAAAATAGAGTTTTAATTTGATTTGACATTAAACAAGATTGTAATTTTTGCAATTAAAGATGCAACAAAGGTTGTACATACCATTGGAGAAATGTTCTAGTTATTCACTAGAAATGTAATTAAAATAGTAAAAAAGGTTGCATATAAGTGTAAAACAAGTTGCATGTTAGCATAAAAAAAGTTTATTTTGCATAACAAAGATTGTATTAAAAAAGATTGCATCTAAAAAATAATTGCAACCATTTAAGAAAGGGTTGCATTTGGTCTAATGCAATTTGCCTAATGCAACCTTTGGTACAAAGTTACTTTCGGCATTATACAACATTTTCAAGCCTTAATGCAACCTTTTAGCAAAGTTGCATTATCTTCACTTTGTTATAGTGGATGGGGGTAGAGGCAAAATTATTGGAGTTCGTCACGATCTGGATATAGATATATGAGAAATGGCAAGTGATAGGGGTTAAGATCAACGGAATTGAAGGCGCGATGTTACATATGGACACGAGCATCGAGGACTACGTCGGACAAGAAGAATAAGAGGGAGAGATGAGTGTCGATGAAAGGGGCATGAGTTGGTGGGGTGAGGTGTGAAAGGGCTTTAATTATTTTCTATTTTTTTAAAAAATAAAATTAGTCAAAATTATATATTTAAAAAGAAATATAGGTTATTTTATAGGAGTGAAGGACAAACACATAAATATAGGTTATACAGTATTAAACTTGATTTAAATAATATTATCGACTATCCCGCTCGATAAGCAGATTTTTCGGACCTATTTTTTCATCTTGAACTACAAGTAAATATGATAATTTGATTCGTTAAACTACGCAGATTTTAGACAACTTTTTCTAAATTTAAACATAAACTTTATACTGTATCTGTGACAAACTAACGGGGACACAAATAATAAAGATTCAGGTAGGATCTGAATATAACAAATCTATCACTGAACAACCTATATACCAAAAAAAATTGTTGCAACAACGTAATACAACCAGCATCATATATACATTTATATCATCTCACATTCTCTCCAAATTTTATAGTTTCACTAATTACACATCCTTGAGAAATTAACAACTAAATCCCAATAATGACCAACCCCAGCATCATAAAACACTTTGCGAGCAGCATTTTCGGTACTGCATTCATGCACCAAAAACCTTTGAAAACTTGGTTTAGTCACACTCCCTTGCCACACCAACACACACTTATTCTTCACGTTCTCATCATCATCATCAACCTCTTCATGCATATTCTCTTCTTTCACAGCCGCAGCCCAATTTATCCTCTTCAACATCAACTTCTGATACCGTTTTACCGATTTACCCCCGCCCTCCACCACCACGACAGAAATACCCTCCGAAATAACCGCACACCCCGACAACCGATTCTTCTGTGCATTTACATCAACCTTAAACCTAGTCTGAAGGTGCGAAAGGTCATTCACTTTGTATATGGACACAATTGTTTCGAGGGTATTATTATTGTCATCGAAAAACTTTGGTTTTTTCTTTTCGCGTCTTTCGGTCGGAGTCAACTTCCGGGCGATATTCCGGTCAACATGAGCCTGTTCACATTGGGCGGCTGCGCTTCTGATTTCCATTTCAAGGCGGGTCGGGTTTTGGGTGGCTTCTGATCCGAGGACTTTCATTAGATTGCTCATTTTGACTTTGGGTTTTGGGGGTTCTAGAAGGCCTAGGCGGATCATTTCTTGCCGGGCTTTTTCAGTGGCGAGGCGTCTTTGAGTTCGGAGTCTTTTGCGTTCTTTTTGGGTGAGTTTTAGAGGCTGAGGCGGGGGTGGGGCCGGTTCGGCTGGCAGTTCGATTGGGTGGGGTTGTTCCATGTATAGAGTTATCTTCTCTTTCTTTAGTATATCTTCAGGTGGCCCGCCTTCTGTGACGTTTCCGTAAGTACCAGAATCAACAAACTGAAAGGTCATCGTTTTAGGCCTTAAAAGTTTAGTTTTATTGATTCCCATTCGAGGATCAAAGTGAGGGTTTTCATCTAGATCCACTTCTAATTCCGGTTTCAGAATCTGGAATGCATCTTTCTTCTTTCTTCTGTTTGTTAATGTTAACCTTAAGGGTGCTCAAGATGTTTAACTTTGGTATATTTACCACATTGCCATTTTCATTGACTTCCCTACCCAATGCATCCAAACTAAGAACAGGGGCTTTAGCAGGCTTTTCTGGTGCCAGCTCTCCCGGGAACTTGTTTATAAGTGGGGCAAATTCCGTGTCTTGTCTAAAACCCATCTTGGCAGCAAGCTCTTGTGCCCGTTTTACAGCTTCATGAGAATTTCGGGGCAGCCCACCACCAAGTCGGGCAGCAGATTGTGGTGGGGCAGCGGGTATTCCTGAACTAGATGGAGGTTTGAGGCCATCTCTTGCTGAGTCAGTACCCTTGTTTAACAACGGGATCTTCTTCATCTTTTCTGCAAGCGCCTTGTGCTTCAGTAAAGTTGCTTTGGCCATAGATAAAGCATTGAGAGAGATGCCTCCAATCTTGCCAGCATCTGCAGAATCAACTCCTTCGGTTTCATGTTTGGTAGAAAGTGATGATGATACCTTAGAAGGAGGATGAGGGTGGCTGGGCGCCAAAGGGGTCTCATGTGGGGTTCCATATGGCTTACTGGGTGCTCCCAGTGCACCACCACAGGGTTCATCTTTAAGTTCATTCTTCATCGTCGTCATTGTTTCCCCGTTCAATTTCCCTTGTTCCAACTTATCTCCATCCTCGAATTCCCTCCTCTCATCCCTATCTGTGTCTTCCTCAGCAAAACCCACTTTCTCCTGATCAAACCGCCGCCACTCATTCCACTTAGTTCGTTTATCGCCATACCGATCCTCCTCATCACTCTCTCCACCTCTATCTTTCCTCTTGCTGCTTCGATACTTGGTGTCGCGATCGAAATCCCATCTATCCATATCGTTCTTCCTTCTTTTTTTCTAGGCCTTTGTGCAATCTCTAGTCATTCACAAGAATTAGAAATCGGAATACTTAGACTAAATCTCCAAGAGAATTATATTTATACATTTAGTTTAAAAAAGGCAAGTTTTAACCGGAATGTTAGTTTTTATAGAAATAATCTTGCGGATCATTAAATAATCAGTTTTTGTTACTTATCTTTCCAATTGTTCAGTACCACAATATTTGAAAATATATCAAGACACAATTAATTATTTTGAGAATTCTATAGAAATACACATTTGTAATTTAAGCCTAAACATTTAATCATTTACGCTGGCCATGTATCCAAACCATTAATCAAGTTTTCAAATATTGGGCAAAGTGTTTTCTTAACTTATCGTGAAATGATTTTGATTTAGCTTATGCATGGTTTAATGACGAATTAGAAAGAAATTTACGACTTTGCCACATAACCAAACTATTGATTCAATTAAAAAAAAAAAAAACCTTGGGTGACAATTCAGACGGTCATTTTATGTTTTTATCCAACACGTCACGACGCGAGTAATTTTTCATCAATCGAACACAACAGGACACAATATCATGTTTTGTAGCTAACACGAACACGGCCAATTTAAAAAAACGAAGAAAACAAAAACACCACAACACAAAAAAAAAATAATATACAATATATATTTGCTTATTTAATTAAAATAACATAAGATATGAGTTCGATGGATCATATATATGCAAACATAAAAAAAACATTTTTGTAACCAAAACAAAACTTGGAATAAAATTGCATATTAAGTAATACCATAAGAACCAACTTTTGCAACTTACTCTTTTCATTTTCTAGGATACTGCTAAGTTGTAACATTTGTTTTTCATTTCAATGTGAAAAGTTTTATACCTTGAATGTCCTTAAGTACAAGTTGTGAATATTCACTATAAGAATCTCCACCTGTGTCGACGGCACCTATACCGATGACACTTGTCGTCACTAAAACATCAGCTATACTGACGACTTGTCGTGGGTACAGAGATGACCAATTTTCTTCAACCCGGAACTCTATGCCCACGACTTGTTGTCGCCATAGGGTTGGCGGGAACAAAAATTATTTTTGCGTTTTTCTGAAAACCTTTGTCGATGAAAATAAAAGCGACGTCATTTTTGGATAAGCTATCCCGATAGCATGTCATCGACACAGAAATTGGTGATTCGTGTGAACTCTATACCAACGACTAGTGGTTGGTAAAGGATTTTAATTTTTTTTAATTGCGAGAAATTGGTGATCCGTGTGAACTATTTTTCAGATTTCATTTTGATTTAGGTGAATGTCGTTGCAATTTTTTCTTTGTTTTCCGGTTAGGTTGTCACCGGAGGACCACCGTTGACTCCACTTGTAACGTCCAAAAAATCATAGTAAAAATTTTGATTTTTCAAAACCATTTTATAATCCATAAATCATACAAAACATTGTTTCCAAAAACATAGTTATCAAATAAGAGTATCCAAAAACATGTCACAATATAATATCCACGGATGATGTCTACAATCGTACCTTCACCTTGCCCCGATTATCTGATATACCTGAAACCATGAAATCAAACTGTAAGCCAAAGCTTACTTAGTTCACCCAAAATACTCCTCACAACCAAATACATACAATGCACGGAATATGGTCTACAACACAAGGGTAGTCTGCCGTCGAGCCATCAGCTATAAGTTGGACTTCTCTCGAGCCTACAACATAAGTTACACCGCTCCCTTGGTCCTACAATATCTACCGGACCGCCCGGGTATCTTGGCCTTTAGCAAAAAGCAGGATCACCTCAACCCAACCACAACATGTCGACATATGTAACAGATAACATATAACCAACAAGTATAGGTAATTATACAAATCTATCCATCTAACATATGTCCAGCAAATACAGGTAATCATACGGATCCGCCAATCTAACAGCTCACTATAGCATAGCATCATATTATATACCATGATACATAACACAACCTAGTGGGCTGGCATTGGTTCCTTTGACCCACAGATACAATGACAAAAACTCACCTCGAAGTCCAAAAGATAGCTAAACTGATCACTGCTTCAAATATCGGCTCTACATTTCACATATACAAGAAACATGGATTAAGCCTCAATTTAGTACTCAAATGTAACATCTGGACTTCCAGGTATGAGATTTATTCCATAAAAGACAAATTCCCCTTGGAACTCGTCGAGTTGATGGCCTCAACTCGATCTGTTGAAGACTTTTTGGACTGTGCATATTTTTGAACCAACTCGACGAGTTGTTGAGGAAAACTTGACGAGTTGCTGGCTGATTAAGAAACACTAATTTTTAGGGTGTTGTACCCTATTTAAAGGCCTTATACCCTTTGGGTGGCCTCGTTATCAGTCTCCTATGTCCAGAAATCCCTAGTTTGTGCATCCTCTCCCATATTTGTGTGTGTTTGATCTTGAAGAGTGATTTCTTGGTGTTCTTTTGAAGGAGCTTGAAGTTTGAAGTGGCTTGATTTAGATGAAGGATATAGATCCGTAACCTACTCTTTTGTTGCAGTTATTTTGAGGTATAAAGTCGACACCTTTCTTATCTATTGCTTAGATCACTTTCTTTGAAGTTTATTGTCATATTTGGCTGATTGTTGGGATTTATCATGGGTTGCGTATTTCATGAAGTTATCACTTCAGATCTGGACGTTTTATCGCCTCATTGGATTAAAAGTTGCAAGCTTTATCAAGTTCTAGGCCTCCTTCATGCCTTAGGTCCCTTATTAAGCCATCCTTGTGTTTTGGAGCCTCTTTGGGACATGCATGGACGTAAAGTTAGCAACTTTACATGGTTTTCCAGCCCTTGGGTATTAGATCTATGTTTTAAGGCGTTAGACTTGATGAAAAAGGACTGAATTTGTTAAGCTGGGAAAACTCGGCGAGTTTTCTAGCCAACTCGACGAGTTGGCTAGGGGTTTCCCGACTCTCTGAATACGGTAGGAACTCGACGACTTGGTTGGTGCACTCGACGGGTTGGGTCAACATGGACTGTTGACCTTGACTGTTGACTTTGACTTTGTCCATGGTTGACAAAGTCTGACTCTTGAGGGTATTTTGTGTATTTTAGAGTTTTGATAGAAATGATTACATGGTGGTTGTAGGCATTTGGGTCCGGAGATGAGATTTGGAGTTGGATCTTACCAGTTCAGCACTACTTGTGAGGTGAGTGTTCCTCACTGTACTTGTTGGGTCGAAGGCAGCAAGGCTGGCCCTTTGGATTGTTATCCTGGTTATCGTATAATTGGGTATTGTAGTAATCAGTTAAATCTGAATCCTAGTAGACAGGATGATGCTATGATTATTGATATGTATGATCTATGCTTGCCTGTTGTTTGATTATGTGTTTATGAGTTATGTATATGTCGACATGTGTGTGTGTGGTTGGGTTGACGTGGTCCTGCTTTGTGCTGAAGGCCAACAGACCAATTGCGGCCCGGATAGACTGAAGGCCTACGAGGCGGACCAGTCAGGCCAAAGGCCCACAGAACGGTCCAGACAGGCTGTAGGCCCAGTGTGGTAGTCCACACATGCTGAAGGTTCTGTATGTGTGTTGTTGCGTGATAGCTATGATTATGTATTGTGGTGGTATTTTGGGGAAGACTCATTGTAATATACACGTTTTGAAATCGTGTTTTAAGTAAATAATATTATGAAATATTATGTGAATTTGAGTAATTGAGTTCTAACAGATAGTTTTTACTAGAAATGAAGTAAAACTATGTTTAGAATCACTCGGAAAATATTGGAAGTCTTATGAGATTCCAATTAAAAGATAAATATCGAAATTTAACGAAAATATAAAATTTGAAATAAGTTGAATTTTATTATTCAAAGTTGTAGATAATTTCATTAGAAACATTTAGGCGAAAACCTCATCGAAATCCGAGTTATAACGAAGAAGTTATAACTAATCGAAGATCCGCGACAAAACCGGCACGACGCCGAATGACGTAAAAAGTGAGTTTTTGATAAACTACTTTTTAGCCTTAGTGATCTA